TCGCTAAAGTCATGCAAAAGTGACAACAAGAGAAGGAAAACAACCACAAAAAAAGATGCAGGACAAACTGATGAACAAAAAAAAAAAAAAACTGTGTCTTTCAATCTGGGTGTGAGGTCCTGTGAAGTCAGGGAACCTTCACACATTTGTGTCCAGCATCCTGTTGTCTCCTAATCTGTTAATGGCTGTGCTGTAGGCTATTAGAAATGATTAATATACTCTCCTTCATATCAGAGAATTTACAGTTGATTTGGGATTTAGTACACTAATTAATACAGTTCAACTCTTAGTAATGCCTTTTCTTACTGCCACAAACCAGGGCTGCCACCCACCCCCCACCCCGAAATTTTCAATAGGCACCGTACAGCTTGGTGGTTGCAGCTCATACAGTGTATGGTTTTAATAACTGCAGAATTCCTTGCACTTCAGTAATAACACTTTACCAACTTTATGTTACTTGAATAACAAGTCATTCCTCGGGTGCTTGACCCTTTCACAAAATAGCTGAAGTGCTAAAACGTAAACAACCTCATCAAGTATGAGACTAAACAGATGAGTGAGAAACAGACAGACAGTGGCGTGCCGATCAAAGCACTGACTAAGGATGGAGCTGAATAAGTGATGTCCAATCAGCAGCTGCTTATGTTCCTCAGTGGTTTTCAGGGATGTCTGTGGCTAATGACTCACCATTGGAGTGCCTCCATGTCCTGTAGAGAGACTGAGATCTGTAGGCCAAGCTTGAGCACTATCAGATGGTTGTTTCTGAACACCAGCGGCATCCGCAGCATATGCTTAATTGGCAGTTTGAGCCTCTGCTCTGCTGTCACTGTTCCAAGTCATTAACATGTAATGTGCACTCTGGACCTGGGGCTCATAAGAACCGTTCCTATTCGCCATAACATTTAACCAGCTTTGAGCCACACTTTCCCCAGCTGCGAGACAAAAGGCCTCTGCTTTATGCCTTGGGTAGACTCCTCTCCACTCTGGCTGTACAAACTGTCACCACAGCGCGCTCTCTCCTCACCACTTTCTCGTGGGACCCCTGTTCAGGCCGTAGCTGGTTTCTGTCTCCACTAAGTAAAAGGGTCAGTAAAAGAAGGGGAGCAGGGCAGCCAGAGCTGTTAACAGCTTGTTAAACATGTCTGTTTAATTCAACACCACTCTCACCCCTCTGCTAATTTCAAATGCAGCATTCATCTCCTCTAATGCACTCCACTTTTACAGATATAGAGAAAATCAATTCATAATGTCTTGCTTTTGCATGCTGTCTGTGGATATGTGAGACCGTAATGAGCTTCCAATTTAGATGAAAATGTTTGTTCAGACTGCAAGAACGTGTTCCTTCTAAGTGAAACCTGTACCAGGTCAGCAAAAATATGTGAAACTGGAAAAAAGTGTTCCACAAAGTGAGACAAAAATAGTCTCAATAACAGGGGTTTTGTTGATTTGGATGAATTTTCCAGTGATAAAATACTCACTGTAGCTATCACACAGACATTATAAACACACACACACACACACACATATGTATTTGTGATAATGTTGATCCTGTTGAAATCATATGAAAAGTTTAGACCTCATTAGAAACTACTGCAAGCTCCAGGAGGGAAAAAACAAAACTACCTGACAAGAATTGAACACAGCTAATTAAGGCTTTAATTATCATATGGGAACAGCACACCTCTTGGCTTGCAAATAATATATGTGAATAATGATTTTCTACATGATGTAGACCCCAAAATGAGTACAGTATAAACATGGGAGCTAGAATGAACTAAAAGACATCTCCAAAACTTCTTTCATGAAATAAATGATTTCTCCTCATCACTTTTTTCCTAATAAATATATACATGGTAGGGGTGTATATCTCTCCCTCATGTGATTTGATACATGGTCCATGATTAGATACAACACTAGCACTGGTACTTGCCTCAAGCTGACTGCTCTCGCAGCTAACTGTACTCTTTCGACGTGTATCACCTGCGTAACATTTCTACTTGCAAGGTTAGCGGTATTCCCTGTATAGGCTATTCAACACAAGGACTGTGTGTTGTGCACTCTGAGGTAGCTGCTAAAACTAGCACTGTTTGCTCCTGCAGCTATCTGTATCTATCCTGTGCATGCCATTTTTCCTGGACCTGCATCATTGAGGAAGAAGTGTGTTTGAACGCTGGCAGGAGATCAGAATCAGCTTTATTGGCCAGGTGTGTTTAACACACAAGGAATTTGACTCTCGTACAGTGTGTATGTACAATAAGGCAACAAGTACACAAGTAAATAAGACTGACCATAATAATGTGTGTTAGGAAAATAAAAAAGTACTTATAGGTATAGAAATATACAGGATGGAGTTTTTCAGATATATACAAAAGTATATTTACAGCTACTGCACTGAGGGTTGTTGTTCTGTTATACTGTCATGGGTTAAGTGTTCATCAGAGCGATGGCCCGGGGGAAGAAACGTTGTGTCTGGTCGTTTTGGTGCACAGTGAACTGTAGCGCCGTCCAGAGGGGAGGAGTTCAAACAGTTTGTGTCCAGGGTGTGAGGGGTTTGCAGAAATCTTCTCTGCCTTCCGTTTGACCTGTGAAATGTACAGATCCTCCATGGAGGGCAGACTGACACTGATGATTCTTTCTGCAGTCCTGACTGTCCACTGGAGCCTGTTCCTGGCCTGTCTGGTTGCTGAGCCAAACCAGACAGTGATGGAAGAGCCGAGAACAGACTTGATAATTCCTCTGAAACGGAATGTGAAACTTCTTGGCCTTTCTGCCAACAACAAGCTACTGCTAACCAATGTGTAGTACAGCTAACGCAGCATGATGCTTACGTTACTAACGTTAGCAAGCTTAGTTAACAGTAGCGACCTGCGACATGATGCTGTGCTGGAATTGAGCTCAGTTAATGTTCATATTATTTTTAAACTGGGAAAACTTCTAAACAACTCTGACAACACTTCCCAGATCCTGGGAAGAAAATGGAAGAAAGCTCACACAACCAGTGGGCTGACAACTGCAGGACTTCGTTGCCTGGCTTTTCTCTGTTCCTGTCTCCTGGTGTATAGGACTGTTAACATTACAGCTGAATTATTACTGATGTGCTGCTCACTCGTTCCCCAGAAATTACACACATTTTTTTGTACCATATTGTGAAGTGTCACTGAAAAATGACCATAAAAACGGTACAAAATTACCTTTAGATAAAAATTACCAGAGATAAATTACCTCTTAAATTACCTTTTCTCTGGTAAATTACCAGAGATGAAAAATGACCATAAAATCATGCAAAACTACTACAGGGACTACACTGTAAAGACCAGCTGAAGGGTCTGACCAATTATAGTTGTGTGACGCGGTGTGGAACAGTGCTACATGGTTTCCTTAAGAGGTCTCCAGGACGGGGTTTCAAAGTTGTATAGCGCAATAACAGACGATCAGGGCACACAGTGGCAATAGCAGAGATGCAGTTTGCCTTATTACAAGCCAGTTCACCACCAAAATGATTTTGAAGCCGTTACTTTAATGTAAAAATGTTACATAATGTTACTTTTACTAACATACATAGTAATGGAATAGCATGGGACTACTCAAACCAGAGACCAGACAGCAACAGCTGACATTTGTCACCAGTCAACATTACCAGGATGCATATACTGAACATGATTTCTAACTTCAGTCTGACTGAATGCACATCAAAAGCTATCCCCAGTGCTACGTCAGCTGTGGATGTTTATCAGACACCAAACAAACAGTGAAAAGTCTTTCCATCACAAATGGGAGACTATGTTTTTTGCTCATAAAAGTCTTGTTTGTGGGTCTGCGGTACCACAGACTTTACTTTCACTTAGGAAGGTATTTATGGCTTCAGTTTACTGAGCGCAGCTGTGAACAAGAAGTTCATGACTCATGGAGACTTTATGACTCACCTCACCCTGGTCTAAAATTACAGTTGCATGAGTTCTTGTATCTATATGAACCTGAAACAACTGAACAATGTTTAAAGTTTGACCAACAGTAGAACCTGCAGTATATCACCTGACTGCACCAGCATCATGAAAAATGCTGAGAAAGCCCCAAATTGCAAGGAACCAAACTTCAGTTTAAATTTAGATTTGGCAATTTAATTTAATTCCTTTGAGTCTGTCAAGCTTAGAAATAGATACTCATTATTTAACCTAGGCTGTAATTTAATATTCATATACAACACAGCTTTGATTTTTCATTTCTGTTAAAAGTGCCCTTTGGAGTTTACTTGTAAACAAAAGCAGTGCTTACATTTTCATTCGCCAAAACCCACTGTGTGTATCCATGGAGTTAGAAAAATTGGTTGAATTGCAAATCAGCAAACTGTGTTTTCAATAATTTAATCCGAGTTGGGTGATTGATCAACTGGGAAGTTAATTTATTTAAAGTTACAGCACTGAACTCTTGAATATAAGCTCTGAAAGTAAAATCTAGACAGGTAAAACATAAAACTGACTTCTTCTAATTCAAGTTAATTAATGATAATCAAAGAGATAATTTCAACACAATTACAAAACTGCACAGTGTGAAGATGCCTGGTTATAGCTAAACAAAGACAGCTCTGAAACGTGGGTTTCCTGCATGTCACCATTAGCACTTTGTTTTAATTGCTGAAAATATTTATTTAACCAAAATGAAATATTTATTTAATCAAAAAAATATATATAAGCTGAAATTTTTCCTCATAGCTCGCTCATGTTTGGGAAAACTTGACCCATCCTTGCAGTCCAAAAATGTACCCATAAGGTCTTGTTGTAGGATGACATTATGTGTTCAGTGGTTTACTTTGCAACTTTTTCTCGTTACCACCTCATATTTATACATTCAGTCTTCAGCCTTTTAAAAATAGGCTCATTATCATGTTTGTCATAAAACAGATAGCAAACAGAGGAACAGGACCCAAAATGCCAGCATAGACAGCCAGCCATGCAGGTAAAGTTAAACAGTTTAACACACAATTAAAAAAAAAAGACACTTACTTTCAGTTCAGGGAGTCAAAATGAGCAGGGAGAATCAGAGGCAGAATGAGGAAGTCCAAAACATGTAACCAATCCAAGCCAAGTGTCCAAGTGACAAGGCAAGAGGTGGAACCTGAAGTCGAAACATGTCGTACATGAACAAACAACATAAAATACTAAGAACAGTAAGAAGTACTAGAAAAACTGAATACTAGAAACATGGAGAACACAAAAACAGAGGCTTCAAGGAGTAAAAGCTACAGTATAGATGACAATCCAGCAGAGTGTCCGGGGGACTGGATGGGGAATGACAGTTTCTAGAAAAGCCCCAACAGTCCAACAGACTTAGGCATGAAAACTATACTTGGGTACAATACATTTAGGAACAAAAACTCTTGAAAAAACTCAAGCCACACTCTGGAACTGAACACAGATCTCCTGAGAGAAAGTCCTGTTTTACATACCTAGCCATCCACTACAACCTCCTCCTTACACGGACATTGTGTCTCTGTATACGGTACGTTACTTACTCCTTTCTTTGTGTCATAATTAATATGGTTGCTAGATGTCACCAAACTATAACACGTAACATTTAGTCGTAATAACCTGCTGGCACAAACAATGTATATGCTTGTATTTTACAGGAAGACCGTCTCCCATTTATGGTTGATTGTAGGAGTGTTTTGGGCAGAATATGCAGCTCGGCAAAGCTGTCAAAGTTGATTGTGATTTATAAAAGGAATTTGCGTGGAAGCATGCCTGCACACAATTTTATAAATTATAGGTTACTTTTTTTGGCATACACAATTTCTGCTTGGTGCACATATAAACTTTTGGTATGGATCCTATATACAATATTATAAATGAAGCCCCAAGACTGGGATGGCTCATTAGGACAAAAAGCACTGAAATGAGTGAAATATTGGACTTTAACAATGGAAATGTTTAGATTTTTGTTCCTCTAAAATGAAGTTAGAGTTTGGTCAAAAAAAGCTGGCCCTGTGAGCTCATATCACTACACAGCCTTAGTGATATTTTAACACTGCCAATAAATCTCTCTGGGCTGAGGCCTTTCACACATTAAACTGTCTAACATGAAAAACAAAAAAACAGAAGCCACTTTCTGAGTTCCCTCATGGTCACCCACAAAAAGCTGTGAACCTTTCGCCTTCACTATTCATCGCCGTCTCCATTCGTTATGGGTCTTACCAGAAGGCGAGTCGTGCTCAAGGTCACAGCTGCTCTGTCCCACCTGGAAATGTGACTCCTCTGACCCACTGACTCAACATATGGACATGCTAGCATGCGCCATGTGGTCCGGGCGAGAAAGTTAAACTTTAATCTGGCCAGGTACTAGGGAATTTGCTCTAAGTTTCCCTAGCAGGTGGCGTTTTAATTATTGAAAATGCTCGGTTCATATTAAACCGAGCCACGAATCATTTTTTCATCAGGAACAAGAACTTGCAGCCAGAGCCATAAATCTATTGCAAATGTGAAGTAATTTTGAGCATTTCTTTCTTTCTCCCCTTTGTGTTATGTGCTGTGCATGCATTAACTACTTCCTTATTAAGCATCTCATCTAGCTCGCCCTTCAACAACATTAATATTGTATATGTTTGAAAATTCACGTCGCTGTTGGTGGAAGCACAGTTCCTTTCAATCTAGGAAATCAGACATGGAGGAAGTGCTGTTTATATCAGTAGTAAAGGTTCCTGTATACTGGTATATTTGGAGAAATCACCTCTCCCGTGATAACAGGCTCTCTAAGGGACCCCACACTGCAAAATATGATAGATGGAGAACTCACCAATTAGCACACATATATGCACAGGTTTCGTTCTGTGCAGCTTGTATAAACAACTATTGATGGATCCTATACCAAAGAAGAATGTGTCAGAGATGGTAAAGGCATGTACATTGTTAGTTTGAAAAAAAAACAAGAGAAAACTGCTTGGAGAACTTGATAGTTTATGCAACAGATGAACTGAGTCTGCACAGCTGCAGTGCCAATGCAGATAAATGTGTCATATTTAGACAGATGACGGAAACAATGCAGCATCATACAAATAAATATTTTTAAAAATCTGTGCATTAAAACAATTTGATTTCCTCACACTGTTAACAGCTTGCTCTGTGATCTCTCTGGATGCAGCTGCTAGCTCATAGCACCACACATGACATGCACTAGGTACATTTTTAAAAACAGAATTGATAATGCATGTTTGAAGCCGGCCATATGGTTGTGCTTTTTGAACAGTGGCTTCTAAGAGGATCTCTGTAAACCGGATTGTTGTAGCTGCATAATGTTCATGCAAGCATGCCACACTTCAGTGAAAGGCACCTACGTACCTTTACATAAATTCAATTCACAATATTTACTTCACATTGTTTATACTTCTAGTCCACAGTACTTTGAAAGGAAATATTATACCCTTTACTACATTTATCTGACAATGGAAATTACAAGCAATTTTGCAGAGTAAAGGCTTAGCAGTTTATAAAGCAGTTCAAATTAGTTGAACTTCTACTAACAGTAAAATTCTTCTTACTCATAAATTAATCAGTATTAACAATTCAACAAAGAATACATAATATGTGGGTACATTTTCAGCATACCCAGTATTTTCACTTGTTTTTCATAATGCTTCTTAACTTATAGACATTGTCTTATTATTCTTTCTACTTAAAAGATCTGAACACCGGCTCACAGCCAGTCACTTAGCCTGTCCAACAGCAGGGAGAAGAGCGTGTGTCAGTACACTAGCAACCTAATTCACGTGTTTTTTCTTAAGCACAAATCCTAAGCACATGTCACAGCCTGATAAATGTATGCACCTTAAAATACTGGCACAATGTAGTTTGTCAATCAAGTGTAGATAGCAAATAAAAATACAGGGGTGGACACGAAATTCGACAATCTACAGTACTATAATCCCAAACAATGGCTATGAAAATAGTATGAAATACCATTCAACTTTGTGGTAACGTTTGAGGTTACAGTTAGTGTTGGCATACTGGATCACATTATATCAAAAGAAGCACTGGTATTTCTGTATTTTTACCACTAGATATTAAAAAACAGTGGAAAATTTGTCATTGTAGTTTGATCTGCTCATTAACAGTAAATAGCTGCTGCAGCATCACTGGGTGTGACAGCTGGTGGAATTAAGGCACCTTATTACCTTTACCTCCTGACTTCTACAGTTTGTCATCCTGAAACTGAAGTCAATCCAATTCACTTGCACTGTCTGAGGATATCAATACGTTAGAAGTCCAGAATGAATAAATGTTTGGTAACCAGGTTAGAAAACTGAAAAAATGCCCTGTTGATCATTATGTTTTTCAGCTTTCTTTAACAAGTAATCCAGCAACAGTGTAAGATAATGCCGGTCAGTTTCTAGTGTATTTTAATAGTATTTTCAACCAGTGTTGTGCAAGTTCACACTTCACATTCGCTCCAAACCCTGTCTTTCATTATCCACTAAAAAGACCATTTGTTTTATTTCGTTTATATTTTGGGTAAAATTCTGACAGAGATTAATTTGAATCAATTCATTCATTTATATATTGTGAGGAGCCGCCGCATCCTGCTGGTAAGCAAATGGTTAAAAGATCACGACAAACACATGCACTGCATTCAAAATGCATTTCTAGCTGTTTTAGTAAACTTAGCCAGTTTTCTCTCATATTGAAACAAATCAAACTCAATAAGGAACCTGAACCACCCACCTCCACAGCTGCCACATCTAGTCATGATTGACAGCTACCAACACTAACTGATAACTCGCAGCCTGCGACATGTTAACAGCAGGAAACCAACCATAAACCTGAACAGACAGTCAGGCCCGTCTTACCTTAAACCAGATGATTTTTACTCCTCTCCCTTTGTGCCAAAGTATCCACGTTATTAAATCCAAGACAACAGCCCTGGCGTTTCCTTGTTGTCCTGGTCCTCAGAGTCAGTCCATCCTTCATATATCATGAAACTTTAAAACGAGCTTCCAGTATAAAACTCAGTCAAAAAAAATATAAGGTGTGACCTAAAACTACTTTACAACTCAGATGGTACTTTCACTCATCCATGTGTTTAGCTGGCCGTCTACTGAAAGTTTTATACCTAGCACTACTCCATGTCCAGCGGTGGACTATTAGCGTTCCACGCTCCAGGCCAGCAGGTGGCGGTAATGCACCTTAGGTTGGCTTGCAAACAGCCAATAACCGCCAATAACCACCATAAGAAGAAGAAGAAGTTCTCGCTGTGTTCACTTCCTATGAATGCTGAGGTGCAGGGCCTCTAGCAAAAATTCTGCTACGCGCTACCACGGAAATCTTGCGCGCGTAAAAGGTAGAAATATGGGTTTACGAAATAATGAAACTACATTATTGACAATCAAATTGTTTAATTTGAATAAAAAAGAAACACATAGTGCTTTCTTTAGCTAACTTTGGCTGACTCCCATTGACATTGCTGCTGCACAGTGGATCCCTCCCAGTGAGATGAATCATACCCAGCACTCATTAACAACACAATTGGACAAATAAATGCAAATTTCATGCTGCAGGCATGATATAAAATACAAGTAATTTGGCCAACATCAATTATAAAGCACCAGAAAAATGTTAGTTGTATTTAAGCCAACAACCTGACATCCATCCATTCATTCATTATCTTTATTACTTTTTCCTGAATAGGGTCACAGGGGAGCTTCATTAATACTGAGAAGCATCACATTTTGAATCTGGCAGGGGTGGCACCACAGCTGAATAATCAGATGTATGGGAGTGGCTGGTGCCACCCCTGGCCACCCCCTTACTTTGAAGTAAATAAAATAGTTACATTACTTATTACATTTTTAACAGGGCACTGGAACTAGTAATCAACAATGTATTACATTGTTAAAGTAACCTTCCCAACACTTCACAAACTGACCGTTGCGAGTTTTGCGAGTACTGTAGTATTGTTGCATGATGCTGTTAGTGGATTTCATCATACTGTGTACAACAGGAGCTGCTTTTCTTGTGTCAACACCTGTAAATGCCTTTTAGGTCTGGGAGAACTGCATATAGTTAGACAATAGTTTTCAGTGTAAAACACATTTTGTCACCAATTAGGACTGGGTACAGCTGGCGAACCACTTTTCCTAAGCAGATTTTTAGTTCATTTTCGAGAAAGTGCTGTGGTTTCCTGTTTTGAAAGCCAGTCCCCTTGTTGACACTTGTCAAGCAAAGTATTCATTTTGGTACAGAAAACATCTTGCTTATCTCTGTAGAACTGAGTACATTTTCATCGCTGCTGGAACAGAAATAACAGGCATGAATTCTGTTTGCATTGTCCCCTCACATGGTATTCTTCTGCTCAGTAAAAAAAAAAAAATGGGAGGGCAAATTTAATTTGCATCTCAAACCATTTCCCTGATTGGCAATTGCTTGATATATCCCCTGTGTCCAAAATTTAAATGCTTCCAGAGAAATTTCTATAGAGGCTGTGCTTTTTTTTTTCCTCTTTCAACTCATAACATCCGTGTTTAATGAGTTGCGTCAAAAAGACTCAGGAAACTGCAGTGCTCAAGTAAAGAGAAGACACGGCTTGATAAAAATAAACCGTACTGCATAATTTAACCACTTTTCCATTCATTAATTTTTTTCATATAATGAAGTAGATCAAGGTGATCCTAAATTGATTTAGTCAAGTTTTACTTATTGCTCATTGCATTTACTTTTGGCAGCAAATGGGCAGAAATCCAGTGACCCATCCTGACACGCATTAGCCTGACATACTGTGAAATAGGCAAAAGGCCTCACCTGCATTTAGTCTTTAATTAAAGGCTACTGAGGGCAATGAAAGATGGGAATAACAACAGAGTACAGCTTTAAACCAGCAGGTTCAATGTTAAGTGTACCAGATGTCAATGCTTTTAATATCTGGAATAAGATTGCTTTAAATTACATCCTTTAAAGACTTTTCCTCCATATTGAAGCTGATTAGAAGATGCTTAAATGAGGATCAAAAAGTGAAGCTTGTGCTGAGCAGAAATGGAATATTCTTTTGGCAGATAACAATAAAAAAACAGCTACTCAGAGTTAACACCTGTTCAAGGAGCAATTCAAAGACAGAAATCCACATTTCATTAGTTCCTGCCATATGGAATATGATAAACACAGCCGCTTTCTTTCAACTGAATTACAGCATTCACAACTGTTAGAAGATAAAGTCTGCTGGAAAACATTGCAGCGATTCTGTATTTCAGTGGTATGACAATTAATTTGGTAACCTGGTAAGTGGTGAAAAGGTACAAGTGTTCGTACACTTGAATATTCCTATACATGTTGTCGCCTACAGCTTCAGAATGCAAAACGGGCCATGTATAGATGGCAGAGAGCAATGACTGAGGAGTTTGATGAAGATGTGGTATTTGAGAACTCTCCTCTTCTCCAGTACCTACATGATCTAGGGCAACATGAATATCACTGCAGCAAAGAAGAAACCAGCGTAGCACAAACATTGCTTCCCTGGTTAATGGAGACTTATTAGTAGCAGTTTACAGCAGTATTGTATTGGTTTTTTTAAATTTTGTTTTTATTTATTTTATATGTTTCATTTGAAATTTAATTTAAAAAATCTAAATGTTGATGTTTATAAATCTTTTTAATAAATGGCAAGCAATTTTGTGACTTTTTTCACTTACTGTACTGAAAATGAATGAAACTGTGACTTTGAAACTGGGGTATGTACCAAACTGTGATTTTTGTGTACCATTATATATCTATTACCTGGTACTACTGTACTAACTCTTAAGTTTAAACTTAGCCTTAGCACACAAATATACAATAATACTGGCCTTTCACTCAAAGATTATGAAAAAAACTCATAAACGACTTTCAAAAGACTAAAGTCTGAAACCCTCTGAAGACAATGTGTCATTAGTCACACAGAGATTTAGTCACAGACTATGATTTTGCAAAGACTGGGAATCACGCAGGGTCATTATTTGCAAGACTGCAACTTGATTTCTCTTGAGATTACTTCCCATCATGCTCCTGGTGGGAAGTTACAGGAAGAAAGAATTGAAAAATGGAGCAGAAGCAAAAGCAGCATTTGGCTACAGCTGCACTTGTGTGTGCAGTGTTTTGCCTGAAAAAAAGAGAGAGAAGACACGGCAAAATGTGACTGAAAGGTGACAGCAAGGTTTGTCCATCCTTTCTCTCTCTCCACTCTATCATGGTACATATTGGATGACACATCAAACAAACACCCTTGCCCACTCCACCAATATCTCCTCCTTTGTAACATTCCAACAGAAGCCTCACCAGAGTCTCCATCATGTGTTTCTGTGCCCACTGTACTGCTTCCTGCTTGGTGCTGGAGCGAGCTCATCTATTGGTTGTTTACAATGTTCCTGTCACTGTCTGCATGAACCAAGACTAAAGACTTAGAATAATATTATACATGGCTGATTTTATTGGAAAGTCAAGATGACGATAGCGCAACACAACTATAGCAGGACTCTTGGGATTTTATTCCAACATAGGAAATCTGTCTGCTGCGTTGAAATCATTTGAAATGTTGTTAGGTATAAGGCTGGCATAAGTTGCTACCAGCGGTGGAGGAGGTATTCCGATTCTTTACAAACCACACACTGTAGTGGAAATCCTCCTTCACAAGTCAGTAATGGAATAAATTCCTGCATGGCAAATGCTAAAGTAAAAATATCCTGGGATACGGCACCAAATGTACTTAAAGTATAAAGAGGGAATGTATATACAGTAGCTGTGAATGTTTACAGTGATACATTATTGTGCTACACTACTGCTTTAATGTCTAAGCAGCATTTTACTGGTGCAGATGGTTGAGGTGTTGCTAGTTTAACCAGCATTTATACTGCTAGGAGGTTTAATTTGTCCCAATGGATCCCATATTTTATATGCAAATATTTTAGTTTTATTTTGGGAAAAGTAATTAAATCTATAATCTTTTTACTCTAAACAAGATCATATGTAAAATATCATTATGTATAACCTGACACTTTACAAAATGCTGTTTAATTAGCATGTAAACTGGAAACGATAATTTAAGATGGCTTAGCTTAATTGAATGTTTGCCACTCATTCTAAACTGCATGAATAATAAGCCTGAAACACATTGCTTTATGTATGCATTTATTAGTTAAATAAAGTAATACCTAGTTTACTAGATTGGTAGGTATATTTAACATATATCATTTTCCACCCTGAAACTGTAATCGTTGGAAACCATGCTAAAGCTTGTGGTGCTACACTGGCTTCCTGTTTGCATGCTGTAGTTGATTAGTTTGCTTGGACAGCATTACAGCTGTTTCCTACCGGCAAGTTAAACTGAAATCCTTTTTCAGTAAGACATTTCAAGTTTTAATTGTGCAGCCCAGTAATTCTTAGTTTGTAACTAGCTAAAAGTTATTAAGAACTTGGCAAGAGCCTAAATGCACGAGTTAAACCCAGTCCTGATGAATGCACAGGGGTGAGCACACACACTGAATCTGTCATAGTACACCTTCCAACACACAAGGAGAGGCAGTGTCAAAGCTAAAGTCCTCTTTTCCCAGTTAAAATGTTTGCAATAAGAAATCACAGTTTGACATTTGGGGATTTTAAGAAAAAAATACCAATTTCCTGCTCAAAATACCAGAGTGGCACACCCGCCTGTGTTTCAACTGAGTGCACGTGGTTAATTGTCATAGTGGATTAAGACCTGGCTAATGTGGGTTTTCTATGGGACTGGAGGCTGCATGCACAGGAAACACTAGGATGTGGTCATGAGGAGAAAAAATAAGTTGGGCTTTGGTAGAGCACAGGGATTTGGGGAATGAGTCCATTCTGGGATTTAGATGTGCCATACAAGTAAAATGAGAGTATCCTGGATTTTCCCCAGTTGAACGCTAAGCTGCGGTGGCTACGTTAAGATGTCCCAAGCTTCCCATACAGAAATAAGAGGATAATTTGCCGTGGTGCGGTACAGCACACAGTTTTAACCCAGAATTACTAGTGTCTGACCCAAAATAGATTTATCTAGGCCCATGTTTCTTACAATATGCCAACAGAAAAAATTTATGTAAAAGACAATGAATGAGACGGATCACTCATCAGAGCTCAAAAACATATACATTTCTTTGTTAAATACAGGGAATAGTTTTCAAATAAAAAGGAGTGATCGCTTAAATCCAAGGGCTCTTTTATTTTCAAAAAGCTTCACTTAAGTATTTACAGTTTGTGCAAAAACATTTAAAGGTTTCAAGGACTTTACATTGTAAGTTCAACCTCAAGGCACATACATGGAACAACATTAATATGTCATCATGAGAACAGAAATTTAACTTTGGTTCCTAAGAAAATGTCTTGTGTGGATGGTTAACATAACACTGAAAGTGTCTTGTTGAGAAGCTGGATGGCAAAGTATCCAAACATAGCTGTTTTACACGCACTGTAAATTTCCAGCCTAGTTTCTCTAAACCAAATGAGAACCTTTCTCTATGTTTACTCATACTGTGTCTCAATCACAGGTGGGTGATTGCTCAAAAAAATACTTGGTATGATTAAAATGAAAGGCTATAAGCAAAATACAGCGCATGCAAAATTCCTTGACTGAATGTCACTGGCTAACAGATGTTTGCCATGAAGGTTTTGCCTACTGAAAAAAAAGCCTTTAAACACATTTAGTTTCAACCTCTGTTTATCTGAACTGACCTCCCAGTGATTAAACATAATTATTTCAATGTAAATCAGTGAGCTTTAAGGTAAATTACTTCTTGGCACCCTGAAACAGCAATAAACTGATGCTAGCAGTCTGTAATATGTTTTGTGTAATTCACTTGATCACAGCACTGCTGTCGTGTTCTTTCATCAAGCACGTAGAAAATTAAGAGTAATGTATGCTGCAAAACAACTACCGAAGCTCCTTCCCAGTCTGGTTGAATCATTTGCCATGCACCACTTGAGGCCTGGCACTATGGATGAACAGGCTCTCATTAGTTACTGTGCGTCTTGCTTAGTGTTGTTCTCACTGTTAATACTGTTATTGTTGCTGCCGTGGCTGCAGTCTTTTGGAGAAATGTGCTTCCTGTTCTGCTGTTTAGTTGTGTCTCGTCTTTTTTGTGCCTTTTATTCCTCCCACAAAAAGTTCGCTCTAGTTATTCATTCAGTCCTGCATATAAGGTAAGGCAAATATCTGTCTCCGTTACACATTCACAGACAGGGGAAATACCATATGTTGCAAAAGCTTGACCTGATTTTGTATGCATGAGATGTAAAATAGGGCTTTCATAAAAACATAAAAACAATGTCAACAATATGTGATGTCAATGTTCAAGAGTTTCTATGGTT